AAAATGCCAAGGGGTGTGTCATAAACTGTTGTGTTTTCTATGAATTTGATAAGTACATTTTATGTTTTTGAAGTTCTAAAAGAGATTAGTTTTGAAGAATCATTTGATATGTTTCAAGCATGACTGAATGTAGAGTTGTTAAATTCCATTCCTTAGATTTTAATCTCATGTTATATCAAGATACACCATAAAAGCTTTTGAAAACAGAGAAATGTGTCTTTTTGTTGTTTTTATAGAACTAAATTTCTAAATGATTGTATGAAACCATATGGAATTATAGTTCTTACTGTTTTGCTTCTTATTGGGCCAATAAAGAGAGACAATGCCATGCTGAGAGTCTAGACCTAACAGACCATACCTCATATTCATTTCATCTAAATAACTGAATACTTTTCCACAAAGAGTGCAAAAAAATGTTGAGTCAAGGTATGGTATTACATCATGAATTAATCAGAGGTCATCTAGGTTTGCTAGCAGGAGTTGTTGATCAATGTGAGGAGGGAAAGAAACAACTATATTTTACAAGGATAACAACTTCTGTTCATCATTAAGGATCCTTTCTACCAGCTGGTCCTTGACCAATACTCTTGGTATTGATATTTCACGAATCATCCGTACCCATTTACAGCTGGGTTGACTGGAATTATGAGTGAAAATGACTCATATAAAAGTCAGCGAACTCTCACAATCCGACCAAGATTAGAACCCACAATCACCAATGAACCAAGCAAATGACAGCATATAAAGAACCAATCAACTAACCGACTGTGCCATAAAACCTCATCAAGTTCAGTGTAAAATATAAAATTCAAGGTTTGGAGTGGAAGTTGAAAATATGATATGAAGCATATCAATTTACCATTGTTAAGTTGGATACAAGATAAAGTTTTTAAGATCTGTGATAACCTGTATGATATATGATCAAGCCTGTTGTTAAATATGAGAAGTAAAAGTGTAGTATATTATTATATATAATATGTATAAAACGTGTCGTATGTTTTTATAATTATAAAGTATCAATTTCCGTTATTACAGGACATTAATCATAACATTTTGATAAACTTGTCACATTTCACACTATGTTTAAATTACCTCCTCCTGGTGGAAATTTGAAATAGGAAAGAAACCCTACGAAGCAAGGAAACATACACCAACATCAGCAGTTTATGATAATAATAATGACACAATATTTGATAATCAGTACATAAGATCTTATATTGTTCCTAAACCTCACTGAAATGGCCTAAAAATTACTGCCTCAATACGCTCCACTGGATATAATCACGCACTGTATGTTATTTTCATCATCACAAACAAACAAAAATACTCAACAATGATTTTGAAAAATTGTGTTATTATGACATTATTCACATGGGTGTTCTGTTTTTCTATCAACAACATTGTTTTCTGATGACAATTTTATGATTCCAAAAGAATTTTTCTTTTATGGCTGAACAGATGATTCTGTTAGAGTTGCATGGCCTAAATAATGTTAACGCTTTTAATATCTATCTTGGAACATAACCCGCTTTGTCACCAATAAGCATTGGCTAAATTTTCTCTTTTGTGAAAATTTATTTCAGTAAGAATGTCTCAATCACAAGGCATTTGACTGACAGCTAGTTCTCAGTAAGTTAGATCATATTTAGTAAAATTTTTGTAATAAAGAAGTGGGCAGAGAAACTGAAATGAAAATTTTAATAAGTGTTATCAAGCTCAACCTTAGCAGAAATTTAGATTAAATTCTTTCAAATAAGTATAAAGAGAAAACCTGTTTTAGAATTTATTTTTTCAATAATGCACAAATCAAATCCTGTATAATAAAAATATAGTTTTGATTAAATAAACCAGTTTCAAAAACTTTTCACAAAAATCGTGACAATGATATTGAATTTGTAAACTGTAAAAAGAGAAAGTTGCAATTTTTGAGATGTTTATTGATTAGATACTAGCAATTCTCTGTGCGTGAATCTCATTATGTTGTGTCTATTAAAGGGCAAGTCTGATATTTTTTAGCAAAATTAAAGTGCTCAATTTAACGAAAACTATAGACTAAATCTGGAGATGTGTTTCTCTTCACTTATCTCAAGGTTTTAATATAAAAAATGATGTCATTAATTTCTAGAACACCAAAACTTAAGGTTTTACAGGCAGTATGTTTTTTAATTTTTTAATATCACCAATTACTATAATCTCCATTTAAATATTTTAATCTATATATTGTGTTTTAATCTGTGTATATATTAGTCTGTTAATCTTGTTTATAGGTATTTATTGTTATGTTTGTTTATGCATATATATTGTATATCATCCTCAGTATTGGCTAAGTGATATATTAAAAATTATTGTTAAGTCTAGTATTTAATGTGTTGTAATTAACTAAAGAGGAAGATTGGAAAATAACTGAGAGAAGAAAAGGTGTAACCATATAATAATTTTGTAATTGTATCGGGGACACTGATAACATCAATTTTCAAGCAGACGTCTGTGGTTCTTGCAATTCAACTATAACGAAGCGATTGATCACAAAATATTATTATCACACAAGGCCCTTTGCAATTAGTGATGTCATTGAACACTTAGTTTTATTAGTTTTAGTGGAATCTGATTGGAATGGTTCTAATTGATTTTCTCGGTGTCCCTGATATACACATAAAAAGTTTAGAAAACCTCTTAACAATCCTTTTACTAAATCATATACATATTTTTTCCAATTGTTCAATCTTTATTTTTACTGTATAAATAAATAATGTTAAATGTAAACCAGAAAGATTATCAAAAGTTTATTTCAAACTAACAGGAAACTAATTTTCTGCCTTATCAAAATGAATGTTTTTCTTCTCTGAATTTTAATGTAATTTTCATATTGCAGAAAAAGGAAGATAAGAAACTTTCTAAGTACAAAAGGTGAATTTTGTTTAGATTAAGCACAGTGCTGTCAGGTGGAGCCCACATATAAATTATGATTTCTATGATGGAGAATAGATAGATAGAAATAATTTGTACATCAAAGAGTTACAAGCATAAAGGATCATTGTTATTTTAGACAATAAAATCTTAAATTTGTAGACCAACAGTCCCCTTTCAATTGATGTCTTGCAATAATTTTATCATCTTTTATCATCAGATATATACCTTTCATAACATTCATTAAAAGAGGGTAAAAGCAGCAAACAGCATTTCTAATAAATAGATATATCACATTGATATAAATCTGGACATACACTAAAAGCCATAGTTTCCCACAGTTTGAGGTTAGTGGGGGGAACTGCACAAAAATCTCATAATCCCTTCAAATATAACTCAAATTAGAAATTTATTTTCTATTTTAATATATTTTTATGGATTTGAAGGATCAAATTCCAACGGATTCAACAGAGAGCTGTGAATAATATTACGGTTTGGCTTAGCTAAAAAAAATCCTGTTTCTGAGACTAAGGTACGATTGGTCAAATACATGGTGAACATGTCCCTTTAAATATAATTTATTAACATAATATAACATGTCCTTTCATACTCTTTACTTACCTTACAGGCTTGACAAATAGTCTGTTTGAATTACACTATAATGAAACGTGGGTCAAGTCATAATTCAATTCACATTATTTCAAACATATGTATCGCACACAGGCTGATAATTTAGCAAAACATGATTGGAAGGTTTCAAAATGATAACCTACAAAAAGCTATGATATCATTTTATAAATCTATCCCAATGGAATAAAGATAATGCAAATAAAAACTGTTGTACATGTTTCATAGTTTTGAATCCATCATAGATGACAAGTGGTTATTACAGTTTCATATTTTATGTCAGCTATGATAAAATGAAGAGGGGGAAAGGGTTTTTTTTAACAAAAAGATAATTTTAAAGAACCTTTAATAATGTGAAGAACTATTTTAACAGCTATGACCAATAGAATGATTGATAGTGAGCGGTTGTGTAGAACTGTGAAGGGATTTTCTCCTTAAGTTTTTTTAGGTAAGAAAAACTGTTCTGCATTTCCATGTGGAGTGTTCATAGCTGAGGTTAGCTTAACGGTGTTAATAGCCTTCCTTGTTGTTTCTGAACCATGTTTTATTAATGTTATTGTAAACTGAGATATAATTTTTCATTTCCAAAGATTTTGTCCAATGATAGCAGCACTGTCAGTGATTTTTAGACAAGAATCTCTAATCCATCCTTGTCAAGGAAACTTACTGTGAAAATAGAAAATGATAAACTTCTGTAAAGCTTCTACTTTGACGTAAACTTAACCTTCCTGGTCCCTATGAATTTCTCCACAAGGATGGTAACACTATCCATCCTTTTCAAGAAAACTTGTAAATAAGGCTTAAGTCATGATGCCAGAAACTATGGAAATACATGCCTTTAATAATGATGAGGTGTACAATTACAGAGAATGATTTATGAATGGACTTAAACCTATAATTATTATAAAATATGGTTGGAAAAACTATAATCATTATGAAGTAAAATATGGCTTGGAAAAAATATTTCGACATGAAGACTAGCCTACTGACCTTTCTAACTGTTAGATATCATTTACATAGACTAAAACTAGTCAACAGATACCGAATCCACTTTGCTTTCAAAAGAAAGTCTGATTATCCAATTGTATTTTAAGGAATTCAAAGGTGGTCAGTATCCCCTATATACAAATTTTCTTCAGAAAATCACTTTACAATCCCTTAAACAGTTTTTTAATGAAGCTCCAAGGTGTCAATGTATGAATTTCTTTTACTGTTTGCAAACGTAATTGAAAAATGTGGTCTAAATTTCAACTTTTTTCTTAGCTGTAAACAATCCAATTGGGTGGTATAAAAATTATAGTTGCACTAACAATTAAACTAGAGATTTCAAATGTTTTCCACCAGCTTTTACTCAAATAATCATTTCTACACCACTTCTGCTAAGGGAAAATGATTAGCGAAATCAGCAAAGTAGATATTTAGCTGCAGAATGTATAATAAATTGTAATTATTTGTCAATCTTGCAGAGGTAGAAATGTTAAATTGTCAACAATATGGTTTGGGTGTATAAATACCATTCTTACTTTTTACATGCCCACACAAAATAAACCTATTGTTAACATGACAACAAGTTATAGGTGAGAATTCCATAATGACAACACATTGTTAAGAGTTTATTTTTAAAACTTGTGCCTTCATAAGCTCATAATGAATTACATTCTGAAGAAACTTATATATATTTGAATACAGATCCCAGATGATTATCATAATTTATGCAACAAATTCCTGAGAGCTTATCACTGAGAAACAAGTACAACCTATCAGATAGTATTATAGTTCATTACCATTACCAAAAAATCATAGAAAAATTTGGATTGCAATGTTAAGTAATTTTGTAATGTACGCTGCTATAAAGAAATCAATCAAGTACTTGCTATCTGAATCGCAAAACAAAACCTGAAATCCTAAACAACATTTTGGGGAGATTTGTAGCAGCTAATGAACTTTTCACATGAGAAAGTATATCAATCATAAATGATTAAGCTATGGGATATCACATTGAATTGAAAAGGACACAACCCATAGAATATGATGTCAACTTGAATAACAGACTGACTTTCTAAATACAGTGGAGCTGCATTTATCCAGAATATTATATATATAAAAGTAACCGTTAATCAGGTGCTCCGGTGTCTAATAATAAAACAATAATAAAAGACAATTCAGTTGTATACGTTACTATTATTTAATAGTTCATATTTTGAGCTACCGTACTGTACATACGATTTTTATTGGAATTAATATTGTCGGCAAACTTTGTATTAAATTCTTCTTTACGTTTTAAAATGCAGCTTATTGTTCTTCGACGAAAACCAAATTTCATAGCTAAATATTTCTACGAAGAGTGGGGCACTTTCTCATAATCTCCAATAATTTGCTGTTTCATATCCCAGAGACACATCAGTATGGGCACGCTTCGCAGGACAAAAATTGTTAGCTTGAGAATTTAGAAAAAACGCGTAACAAAGAATGGCCAAGTTGCAGATTTCTTTTCTATTCGGTGTGATGAATGATACGAGTGTCACTGTGAGTTCTTCTAACCAGCTTCCGGATTAGTGGTATTTATGATGTCACTTGATTAGTGTTTAATAAATCCTCATTATGAGATTAATTTTAAGCAATTAATTTAAATTACGTGTAAGCTATCTTTGGTTCAATCATACCTGAATACCATTAATCGTTCAGTTATACTTTAATGTCATCTTTAGTTCAGTCATACCTGAATTCTATTAATGATACAGGACGCATCAAACATTAGCCCTACGAAGTTACGGCACCGAAATTTGTGTTTATAAATAATTATTGTTCATGATGCCTCATTGATCGGTGTTTAATAAATCGTTTTTTGAGAATGTGCGGTTAATTTAATGATCACGTCTAAGCTATCTTTCGTTCAGTAATACTTGAATTCAATTTTTCGTTCAGTCATACCTGAATATCATCATGATTACGGAACACATCAAACATTATCGCTACGATGATACTGCACAGTAATTTATGTTTATAAATTAGTGAATCCTAATACTAAGGAATGCTAATGTTATTATCATGCTATGATAGTGTAATGTACTCTGATGTAAAATAGAGTAGTGTGTCCCTCCACAGAGTGTAGCTTTTAGATGCAGCAGAAATATGACTGGATGGTATCAACTGCTAGTCATATTTCACAAGATATTTATTAAGCTATGAATGCATATCTTCCTGTTGAAAAGTATCTATACAAGTCAAACTATGTACTTCTACAGACTAAACCTAGCTAGTAGACACATAGTTATATAATGCCAAAAGTGAATGAGCCACTACAGAGGTATTAAAACAAACAGCAGTAGTGTTCACACTCTTCTTTCTTGGAGATAAAAAGATGAAGATTACCGTCTGCCACCCACACTTTATTTTACTTACATACTAAAGATCTATTTCAGATATCAGTGTTTGGGATTTACATACTCAATAGACTTTTTGTTAATGATCTTTCCCACACCAATAATATTGTGCCAAGAGCTGATTCAACAAATTACTGTATGAGATATTGAATGAAGAGAGTTATTGCCCATGTTAAAGTATTCACTAGAATTACATAAGAATTGCTAATAACATTAAATGGATTGTAAAGGGGTTTTTTAAAAAAAAATTTTATCACTTTGTTTAATGCAAACGTCCTAATAAATAAATAGTAGCTTTTGAGATAGTGATGTCATAAAATGCTTACTTTTATTGGAAGCCACAGATATCTGATTAAAAATGACAATGGTGTAAATTGATGATACTGTACACATAAAATTTTTAGAAAATCTCTTTACAGTTCCATTAACCTCCCACCTGTTATAAAGAGCTGTGAACTCCAAGTCATCACACATGGTGTTGTATATATCATTTTAACAAATATTGTAGAATTTCATGGAAGTTCTTGTGAGTTGGCCTAATTATGGTCATGTTTTAGTTCACTTAGTAAGAAAAGACCAGAAATTCAAGTGGAAAAACAGGTTGCAATACTCCTGCATCAGAATTTGTATTTTATAGGCCCACATGAAATGTGGCCCACATGTATGTTTCCAATCTGTCTGCTTGTCCACAATTTCATGAAATTATTTTTTAGCATTTGACAATTTTGATTAACAACCATCATGAATTTTTTAATATTTATTATACATTTCTGAAGTAAGTGTATTTGAGAATATTGAAAGCATTTAAGGAAGAACAATGGAATCCTTTTGAACTATAGTGTCAGCACTAACAGTTTTTAACCAACCTAACCTCATGTCAGAACAAGTTTATTGGTATATTGAATTTTTGCCAGTTCATCTTAAAATGACCTTGAGCTGATCAAAATATAAACAAAGCACTTATTTTCACCTTGAATTTTGTTTACAGCGGGCAATTTTTAGTCAAAATTTGGGATCTTTTGGTCAAAATTTCTGAGAGGGATGTATGTATCGCTTTTGTGTCAAATTTATATTTTTTATCAATGCAAAGTAATTCTAAGATTATCAGTACTGTTATTCAAATTCACTTTAATAAAAGAGGCAAAATTTGATATACCAAAGAACTTGCTCAGACAATGAGTTCAAAATCATGTAAAGAATAGTGACCTGTAGATATCTAAATAGATATTCCAGACAATTTTATTATTCTCAATTTCAAAGCCAAAGAGAGTGTTGATTATAGTCAAGTTGTTACATATTGTAAGACGAGATGAAAAGAAACAATTAAGAAGCTGACATTGTGAATAAATAACCATTCTTTCAGCATTATTATTTTTATGGCACAAAGTTTGATATCAGTAGACCTTAACTGGTAGTTTTTAACACAGGATTTTATTTTTATTCTCGTCTTTTCTCAGTACTGATTGATATCCATGTCATGATCTAAGGCAATAAAAAATGGTTGTAAAAGCTGAAAAATCAAATTAGATTAAGACTTTTGTTGGATAATGGTCCAATGAAATAGATAATTGATCATTCCAAATTCTCTTATTCAAAAGTTTATACAACTAGTCTGAGAATTTTGTCTTCACATTTTCTGTCCACAACTTTGCAGCTGTAAAAAAAAAACCCAGCCATTTTCGTGAATCATAGGGGTCTGGAGTACTCCGATGTAGCAAATTGAACATACCCTAATTTACTTGCTATTTCTTTAGAACTAATAAGAAATGGCTCCTCTAGAAAAAAAATGTTGTGATATTTTTTTTATAAAAATAAGCTTTTACAAGTTTAGGACATTCAATTTTTTTCAGCTTAAGAAATTCCATAATAGAAATCATATTTAGTCTAGCATTTGACTGCGTCAACAACTCTTCAATATCGAAGATAAATTTTTAGTGTAATAATAACAAATAATGTGACTGTTTACACAAATCATAAACATAAAATTCCACAAGTTGTTCTTCATGACGTTGATGATTTAAATAGAGTCAATCAAATCTTAAAATCAACAGGTACATCTATTAAATATTTACAAGTCAAATCAATCATCTGATCTTCAAATCGTGACAAAATGTAAATTCCATAACGATTCTTATCTGACCTTTATCAAAGAGAAACCTTATTTTAAACATTTCAAAATTAATATATATAATAAATGTCTATAATACATATCCATTGGATATTATGAAACGGAAATGAAGTAGCGCTAACTTCGTTGTTGAATCATTTTCATTTTTATTTTCATTTCTATTTTTCTTTATAACTTGACAGTGACAACATCTAACCTAATAGCAACTAAAAGGAATAATACCCAAACAAATAGCAGTTATACATCAGACTTGAGCCCAGTTCTACCAAATATCATGAAAACTCACATGATCTCAACAGATCCCAAGCTGCAATTTGGCAACCATAATTTGTTAACAAAAATTTTGGTTTCTGTTAGCTGGGTCACAAAAACACATTCACCAGCTATGTGAACATATGCACAGAGATTGCTTCATAAAGTGCATTGACAACAAATTTATAGGGACAGTAGCATTTAGCAAAAATTTTTCATGTACAATTTTCAATATTCTTGATAATAGAATTTTGCATATTGCCATTTTAGAGGTAATCTATGAAGATGTCTAAATGTCATTATGTTTTTATAAGAAAATCACTTCCCTTGACAAGTTTACAGAGAATATAGGTTAATTTTAACTCTAAATCACAAGTTTACAGATATACTTTCACTTCAATATCTTAATTACATACACTGAGTGGTAGAAATCAACAGTCATTATAAAAGAGTTGTCAATTTGCGTCTCAGAGGTCAGGAAGTACACAATCTCTTTTGGGTTTGATAGTAAAATCTTTGAACAAAATGTTGACAAGCCCCTCTATATTTGAAAAGGTGCCAAGACCAGAGTATAGATAGATGCAGTATAATTAAATGTTGTTCCGTACACTTTATCAGGTCTGTCACATTTTAGAATAGATCTTGTGACCTGTCACATTTTACATGTATACCCCCCCCCCCCCCTACCACAATCGAATAACTGTGAAACTGTGATTTAACTGAATGTTTCCTTTGTTAGGAGGCATC